GAGGTGAGAAAGGTTTGATGAAACATAAGATAACATCTAGGAGACTAGGAGAGCAACTGGACCTGGGGACACACTGCATGGCTGCCTGGCAGCATTATGGGCTCACGAGAGGTAATAATCATTCTACAGTTATTTTGGGGGCTAGACAGAGAAGCTATTATTACTCCCTTTCTACATCACTTATAACAGTAGAGTAAGGAATAAAAGTATGCTTCTCTGAGCACCAATTCCTAGGAATTTTTTTTTCTCTTCTCAAGGAACTATCCATTTAATCTTACTTTTTGATTTATCTGCCTTGATCAGTTTAAAATAGGGCATATTTTTAAATCAAACTATTGTGAAGAAACAAATTATCTATGGACCATGTCTTGTATATCATCTTATCTCCAGTGCTTAGTGAAGAACCTGATAATCAACACTCAAGAAACACGCTGAATAAAGGAATGAGTGGCAAATAAATAATGAAATCTTTAAAAAGAATGACAAAATATAAAGACTGATTAAAAAGACTGAAAGTAGGATAAGAAAATACACACGTAAAAGATTGAAAATGGTTTGGGTTCACTGAAAGATGTGAGTCAGTGGGAAGAGTCCAAAATGACACTCTTCCAAGAGTCTCTTCTTGAAAAATACTATCACTCCTACATCTCTGAAAGCATAGATTAGGTCACACAAGAGAAAAACACACAGGCAAAATTTTAAAAGTACATTAAAAGGACAAATATTAAAAACTCCCTCATGTTCTTTCTGTAACCTCTAAGTAGACAGAAAAAAACAGAAGTTTTGTTTCTATGCAATTATGAGATACATAGTATCTATCTTAAAACACTGGAAATAAAGTATATCAACTGATTGTCTCTATTGATTTTAAGATAAATAAGCGCAAGAAAAGGTAAATGACACACGACACTTCACATAGAAGAAACATTTCCTATTTTTCAACAATCACGCTGTAGAATCTAACCTATGTGAAATGAATCTTATATACATTATTTCTTTCCAATGCAAGTTTGATGGTAATATAAAGGAGATCACGGTAAGATTTAACTTCTCAAATTAATGGTTTAATATCTCATTTCATCTTAGAATTCTCAAGTCTAAAAACTGAATTTTCATTGCTCTTATGATAACATCTAAACCCCTGAATCTGAGGTAGCCTGGCCTTATGGCTAAACTTGGCTTACCTGTCTAAATCTTATCTCTGGTCACTTTGCCCTCACATTCCATATCTCATACATCCTGAACTACTCATGGTTCTCAATATAATCCTCTCCTTTTAGCCTTGATGCTGTTTCCTGTGTCAAAAATGCTCCTCTAATACCCTGAAAACGCCTACTTCCTGTCTCACTTTAAACTTAATTTTCCTTGGGAGAGGGTCTTGCTTATGTGCTATCTTAGCAGGCTGCACATTTGTTTAATTAGCTCCTATCACACTGTCCTATCATAAAATTATCCGATTACTTGAATATATTCTCTAAAAGGTCATGAACTCCTCCTCTAAGTGAATACCTGAAATTTTATTTTATTATATTTATATAACACATTTATATTTTAAGTTTTGAGCACACAAGGACTTACGTGTGGCACACAGATGTTTAAAAACATTAATATGTTGAATAAAGTTCTACATGTCTAGAATTCAACAATCACTAATTCCACTTTTTTAAAAAAAGGTTCTGATAAAAACTATTCAGCATCATACAAATATTAACTTAGTAACGAACATGTGGAAAAAATGAAAACTTACGAAGAAACAGGAATAAATGTATCCACGTATACAAGCTGAATGAAAAACTGTATTAATCTCCCCTTATAATACTTTATTTTTTCTCAAATTAAAACAACAAAAGCACTAAAACATGTCACGTGATGGTATAAGTATTTTACCTTGTTTTAGATCAGCATTTCTTGTAACACAGTCTGACAGATAGCAGTTTGGTAAAGGATATGATGAAAACATCGGCCAAGGATATAGATCATCTACCCTAAAAAAAAAAAAAAAGGCAAGACAAGATGACTTTAGGAAGTAGTTTAATATAAAACTTTAAGACCTTTTGAAATTTCATAAATTTCTGAGTTGTAAGATAACTAACCAAAAGCTATCTGATACTACAATCCAATACTCTAATGGATACTAACTAAAATGAAAAATGGAAACAACATTAAATAAATGCTGAAGACAAATATGACGACTTGTTCTAGCAACCAGATTGCTCAACTTGTTCTAGCAACTAGATGGCTCTCAAAACTACTTCTTTTGTGCTGTCAATCATTTCTATCTCACCGTTCTTGGAGTGAAGAATCAAAACTAGTGTACTTAATAACAACAATAAAAAACCCTACAAGAGAAAAACGAAACTCTGTGGATACTGACAGAAGGAGAGGTACTCAATATGACAGAAGGAGAGGTACAAAATACAAGAATTAGTCCTCTAATGAAAAGTAGGTATCATGAAAGAAAGTCATTAAAAGTGAAAAAACTTCAAAGACAAAGAAAATGACAGGTTTTTAATAGAACAATACCCTACTCTGCAACACAAATTACCACTCATGACATCCTGCCATGAAAGTGTTTTTCCAGTAACAAAAGTTCAGTTCTGGGATGTATCTATTTGCAAGTTGTTCACTGTCACCTGAGTTGGCTACCTTGCTTCAAAATACATCAGAAAAACATTCCTCCCTCCTCTTTACTCCACTTACCTTGTCTAGTATCCTTGGAGGCAAAATTCGTTCCATTGGCCCACCAATAAGATTTATCCTAACAAGAACATGATTTCTCTCTACTGATAAGCTGTCAATTATAAAATCTCTGAAAAATAAATATATCAATTTGTTATTGCTTTAATTGAATATGATTTAATTTTAAGGTCATGTAGAGAACGAAAGCAACACAATTTCTATAGAAAAGCCTAAAAAATAAATTCAGCTTTTATCTTATAGCTTTATTCATTAAAGAGCAAAAAATTGGAGATATAATTGATATGAGATGATTTAGGTGAAGAATATTTCCTTGACAAAAGTTACATGTTTAAAGAAATAGGATTAAGACATGCATTATTTCTACAAAGACTCTATCACATTTTTAGGCAAGGTTCCCTTAAGTTCTAGACGCACTGTCTTAATTCAAATTCTAAACATTACAGCCTCCATGCCTCCTGTTTCTCTTAACACTATCCTTCTATACTAAACCTACAGTATCCAGTAATGTGGCCTGATCTATATTTTTCCAAAGCCTAGCTAGGATTAAGGCACACTATTTGTTTTCAATTACAGACACAAAAACAATGCCAGCATTGAACGTGTATCCAATAAATGTCAACCAAATTCAGGCAATGGCAAGAATGATACACTAATAGAAAAAAGCTTTCAAGGTATTACCATAAACTTGTTTTGCAATAATCAGAATTTATGACTATGAACTAACATAATTCAGGGAATGAGGTAAAAAGTGCCTCTACAAGGGACACAAAAATCAAACGTTTTGTTTAATGGGTCATCTTTCACATGCAGCCTGAATTTAAAGGTAATACAACTTTATGAAGCCATTAATAAAGTTAGGACTTACATAAAAGACAAAAACAAAACAAAAAACTAAATTACACAAAAACCTAAATTAAACAAAAACTTAGCAGTACTCTGCAAACCATCTCCAAGAACATCATTCACAATCTTTCTGTGATATTTATGCTTTAATTGCTTTTTACTCTCATTTAAAATCTATTGAGTTCACGTAGTGGAGAAACATTCAATAAACTACACAGAAAATTACTGATTTAACTGAACATCTGTAAAGAAAACTGTTACCTTGTTCTTTATTTTTTTTTTTTTTTTTTACCTGTGGCTCTCAGAGGTCTCTAAGGTATTTTCTTCTTGAGCATTTAGTAACATTTCAGACACTTGATACTGAGCCTCTAGTAGGAGAAGGGTGTCTAGATCACAGCATATCACACTTAATAATCTATATAAAAAGGAACAATAAAAGTAGATTCATAAAATATACCCTAAAAGTTCAGAAGCTTTCTTGATGTTTCAAATACCTATAAATGGAAAGACAAATTTTGTAAGAAAAATCAGGTAGCTATTCCAGATACATTTTTAATCACTTTGAATAACAAATAACTTCAAAAGTTTTCTTATTGAAATATTATTTAAAGATCATGGGTAATTTCTAATCTAGTTTAAAGTTTTATCTAAATCTAGGAATAGCAAATTATCTTCTCAACTGCTACTCATTTTAAAAATTTTAGTTCGGGAACATTAGAAAATGCATAAAAACTACAAATCGCCATCCCTTTTTACTCAATTACATACAGAAGGAATAACAAAATCACTCTTCTACCAATTAAGGAAATGTTTATTAGCTGAATGTCAGTGGCTAATGTTCTAACTATCAGATAGTTGAGAATATCTAAACACACTGATCTTAACATTATTAAAAGTAGAAATCATGTGGCTCCATTGTGATGCAAGAGGACTTATGCCGCACCGCCTATAAAATATTCTTTCTACGAAAACGGAACCCAAAACTAACCAATCTCAGATATCTCACTATCAGTTTATAAGAAGTATAAGGAGCAGAAAAATATGTAAAAAGATACCACAAGGGGGAAACAGTCAATCCAACTCAGAATTTGGAGAATCCTACACGTTATTATATGTTTCTCTAGGGTAAAAAAGGCATAAAAAAAAGAGGATAAAGGAAGTTATAAATTAAGAGAAAAATAAAACAAATCTGAAGATTTTTGTTTTGATCATGATTCAAGCAGAAACCATGAAGGTGTATTTTTGAGTCACACAGGAAAATATGGCATAGGTACTAGATGAGATCAGAGAAACAGAATTTTTACATGTAACAACGGCATAATGGTAATTTTTAAAAAATAGTTCCTTATCTGTTGGAGATGCATACTGAACTGTTCATAGTTAAATGTTCATAGATCTGGAATTTGCTTTCAAGTTCTTAAGGAAAAAATGTATACAGGAAGGGGAAAGAGATGAAACAAAACTGGAAAATACTGGTAATTGATAAAGATGAGTGATGGGTACATGGAAGGTTCATTACACTACTGCTCATTCTTTTATATGCCTAAAAATTCTATAATAAAGTATATAGAAGAGATAATGTGAAGGGGACACTGGTATTTAGAGTAGCTAATAAAGGTTTCTCTGAAAGGTGGCATCTGAGGAAAGAGGAAGTCCAAGAAGAAACCAGCCTACTAATTACTTATCTATTCATTTATCTTAGAGATAGATTCAGACATGAGCACAACGGCCTACTTATAAGGATAATTATTGCAGAGTGGTTATAATAGCAATAAAAATGTTTTTTACTGTCTATCTATAACAAGAAGTTTAAACGTTTGAGGTGCATTTTTATGGTGTTATAACATGCAGATACTAGAATAGAGCAGCTATTTATGTTTTGATGAAGAACTATCTCCCATGTATGTTAAGTGAAAGAGGAGAATCACAAAATGTGTATAGTGGTAACATCTGAATAAAAATGGAGCAACACCTGAAGATATACGTAAATACATATTTGTTTTTACATAGAATCTCTTTCCAAGGACAAAAAAAGAAACCAGTAAGAATTGTTAGCTCTGCGGGGGGGAATCTGACAGACTGATGGGGGTTATACTTCTCACAGTATATCTTGTGTATCTTTTATAGCTTCTGAATTTTGGTACAGTTGCATGTTTTACCTATTCAGTAGCATCTGTAAATAGAAAAAATGTTTGGTGGATGCAATTAAGAGTTAAAAAAATAGTAATTCGGTATCACTCTCCAGAACCCTGGCTAAAATAACCAAATGCATAAATAAAACTAAGGGAAAACCTGCTACCATCAATTTAGAGAAGTTAGTTATACTTAGTTTACAAAAGTAAAAACACTTGTGCTAGATAAAATGCAATGCAACCAGAATGAAAAGAATACCTAGACTTCTAGTTTGAAGATGGTAGTATAAGCTGGTACATTTCATTGCCATCTTAGTGAAGTTTCTGAGTTCTAGTGGCCTAGAACGCCAAGATATCACATATTATATATATGATGTATTATTAAATCTTATACTATTTACCACTAAGGAGGTCTCATAATGCATGATTTTAGCCTCTCTGAATTTTAGAAACAACACCTACAATATGTGAGCATGCTTTGCTGATTTATATCAAGTAACCCCTATCAACTCTGTGTGACCTAGAGGCTAGAATAAGATCTAAAATTTTGGCAGGTTCCGAGTCAAGAACCTCTATCACTCAAGACTTTAATCCAGCAGATTCAATGTTGGTCTAATTTTTAGTGGCTGATTAGATACTATACGGAGCTTCTGACAAGGGGCAATACAAGATTTACACATGGTCTTTTAAGATTCTGAAGTGAATCCATGTTCTCTTTGTTAAATAAATATTCTTGTTTTATGATCCTTATCTGATAAACAATCTCTAGCCCCTGCCATCATGGCCACTTTGTTCATAAGCCCATCTGAGTGAGCACTAGGGTAGCTGAGAAAAGAGGCTGACTCAAAACAAAAGGGATTATTTTACCACCTTTGCAGGAGAGTTCGCTTTCAAGAACATTGACATGAGTCAAATATATTCCCTCCATCTGGGTGTATTCTCAGAGTACCATCTATATTCCTCTTCTAGCCATCCTCTGAAACCAACCCTCCAAGCACTTAGAATAATATCTGGCACACAGTAAGTACTGTTTAAAGTATTTGACATTATTATTTTATTATTATTATTATTATTATTATTATTGTTATTATTATTATTACTATATTTTTGTAGAAAAAAATCCTGAGATATATTACTGGTAGAAATATAGGAAAAATGCAGCAATGGAAAAATGATGCCTAATTAATGCTAAAAAATAAATTACGAGAGAAAAGAAAATTGAATGATAAATTATCTCTTGAACTGCAAGATAATAACATTTAATTTTTTTTCAACACAGTACCCCTTTCCTTAGCTGCATTTGTCTTAGACTCATGATTTCCAGAAGGTAAATCTCCAATGTTCTGCCGAAGATAGGAAAGAACAGTCACCTAGCCGGTGGGATAGGAATGGAGAAAACATGACGGCATATCTACATCTTATATTGAACGAATCCTGTTACTGAAAATCTTAGACTTTCACACCTAATCCTCCATTTTCATCTCATTTTCAGTGGTGTCTCTAATTCCTAGCACTTCTAGAATGTTGTGATAAACAGTTGCTTCTGGGCTTTCCCTGACAATTTACTTTTAGCTTTCCTGGCTTACTAAATCAGTTACCACTTATGCATTTGTTTTGTAGCTCCCAACATCACATTGTGGATATCTCCATCCCACAATCCCTTCTGAGAAAGTGTCTCCATCAAAACAAGGGAGTAAACCAAGAAACAGGATATTAAATCCCAGTTAAGAAGATCCAACTTGGAAGAGAAAGAAAGCAATTTCCAGGATGATGGGGAAGAAAAATCCCAGTAAGGCTGATATATAAGGCTAAAAGATCCTCCACTACAAAATGAAACAAAAAGATGTGATACAGGAAAAAAAAATATTACCTGATATCCTTTAGTTTACCAAGAGTGTATGTTTTCATAAATATGAACAGGACATACATAGTCCCTACCTTCAAGAATGTGAAAACCTTGAGACTATAAAACATAATTGGAAAGAATCATTATAAGGCCCCTTGACATTCATGTTGTAAAACGGTGCAACATATGAGCCAGACATTACACTCTCTGGAACCAGGCTGTCAGGGTTCAAATACCAGCTTCAACTAATTACTAGCAGTGTCACCTTAAATGGCTTAACTTCTCCGTGGCTCAGGTGAGTCATTAAAAAAAAAAAATGGAGCTAGTAAGAGTACCTATTTGATGGGGTTGTTCTGAAATCAAGAGATTTAAATGTGAACCTAATACCAGTACCTGGGACATAGCACTATACAAGTGTTATGCAGCAGCAGAGGTGGCAGTGTATATTCTCAGGACAGTCTGGAGATACATTCGTAGGTACACAGAAAATGAAACAAATGGGGAAAAGTCATGCAATTATTAACTTCAGGAAAAATAAAGTAGGAAAAAGGAAATAGCTAGAATACTTGGCCCATAAATGAGTAATATTTATGTAGACACAATAATGTAAACTTTCAATGGCGATTTAATCAAAATCGTGATGAAACTACACAGCGGAGAAAGAGGGATGGCAGAGGAAATCTTAAGTCCTAAACTTCTAAATCTCTAAAGTCAAGAGATTAAACCTAAATTTAAAAAATCAAGACATAGCATAAGCATATTATTTAAAAATCTAGAGATGATTGCCAAAAGAAACAATTCAAGGAGTTGAAAGAGGTGGCCTCTGAGGAGCAGGGCTCGGGAGTAGAGAAGGGTTAGAGGGTTACTTATTCTTAAAAGCTTCTCCATACTGTTTGGCTTTTTAAACTATACACACTTATTGACTTAAATAAAAAATAGTGCTTCATAGATGTCAGATGGACCATGAACTACTATCTTCTCTAGCTATTCTGCCAAAAAAAGATAAACAGACTCCGATGGAACTGGAAAGTGAATTTAAGCCACACGGAATCTGGACTTTGCTCAGTCCTTTGCTTTTGCTCAAGTAACAAAAACAAATTATTTGTTTCCTAAACTCTAAATTATCTTTCTAAAAATGCTATTTTTACTTTATTAAATTTTATCTCTAATGTAATGTAATAATACATGTGATTTAATTTGTGTCATAGAGAAATATCTTGGATAAAGCAGTTACGAAAAAAATTTACATGCCAATTTAACCTTCTTAATGAGTTTGTTTACATTAGAAGTCTGAAATAAAATTCCTCCTGAGTAAGGATTTAGGTTTAACCATAGGAAACTAGCATTAGTGACCAACAAAAACCGAAGTATTCTCAGGAAAAGAAAAATCTAAGTATATTCAGTCAGAGCTCCAGGACAAAGAATTGTTAACCAGGG